TATATATATATAAATATAGAAATATTACAATTATAAATTTGTTTATAATATAATAGACTAGAAAAACTGTGAATCAAATTTGCTTTTTTTATTCTTTCGAATCTTGTTTATTAGAAAATTACACACACATACACACACTTTTACTTCTTTTTTTAAATTCTTTTCTTAATTAGATGTAGTTAAGCGATAAAATCTACATATATGTAATCTGATAGAGGAGATATCGTAACATGATGTATTTTTTTATGCAGTCGTGAGCATAGAAAGAAAACGCACACAAATGTGTATAGTAAGAAACGAAGGTGGCGATACATGAAGTCTCAATGAAAGATTATTACAAGCAAAACGAATCGGCTCTCTGATTAGGCTCTCCGAGAAATCATCTTGATTAGTTAATGGAAGAAATATATGAAAAATATTCGGAGCAAACTAAGAAGAAAAAAAATCTTTCAACCGTTTTTTCTCCCTTTTTGCTCCTTTTCGCACACCGAGCAAGTATTAGTCGCCTCGAAGGCGAAGCCTCGACCGGGCACCGAACCCGCCGTACACTCATAGTCCACAGGTGCTTCCGCTTGGCGTAATAATAACGAATACATAACCACTTCCTACTACACGCGTGATGAAAAACGAGGAAATTTTTTCTCTCGCAGGATATCAGACACCGCTGTTGCCGTCTTCTCTTTTTGCGCGGTGCATGTCGATACGTTTGTCATTGTTTGCCGCATGCTTGTTTTGCCTCTTTAAACGTCTATTCTTTGCTGGTTATATTTCAATAGTTTTCTACGATACGTATCTGGTTTCTTCATTGTCCTTCAAAGTGTTCGCTGAATGCACGTATACCTTGTCCATTAGATCGTTCAATTATGATTATAGTTAACTCTATCCGCATATCATTTAGCGACGAGTTCTCATATATATTTAATTAAGATCTCTATATTATTCTCTTATATTAAATTAAGTAAAAAATTAATATTTCAAAAATTGATAGAAATTAATATAACCAATCAAATATTATTAAAGCAAATCTAAAAAAAGAAAAACATTTTTAATTATTACATGTTTAATTAATAAAATTTTATTTAATTTCTCTGTGATTTTATTATATGATTTCACGCAAATTTTAATCATATAAAACGGATTTAAAATCGTAATATAAAAAAAAATCAATATTGTGTAATACTTCGAATTAAAAAAATTATGCAAGATTGTTGAAAATAAAGTCATAATGAGCAAATTATGTGAAACGGCATGAAAAAGTTATTTTGTCGTGATGAATATAATAATATTAAAAAATAAACTAGTACATATAGGAATGTATCGTAGATGTTACTTCCATGAATTATATGCATACATTAGCATGCATTTGTACATGTAATATTGAGTTTATCCATCGCGATCAAAATATAATGTCGTTATCATGAACGTTTTATGCTTTATCAATATTCATGCGCCATGTACTGCTCAATGATCTATACGTTCTGTCGGCTAATCTTGATACGTATTCTTTTGGAATATAAGTTGCTCGGTTTCATCTAGTCAATTTATCTTTTTGTTATGCACCATCTTGATCCTTACACGAAATGCTAATTGTGTCAAGAAATTATATAATATAAAGAAAAAAAAAACTTATTCGAAAGAAAAGATTGAACGTGGATCTATGAAATTCATAAGTCAATTCTTATATTTATGCCTTAAGTATGACTGCCTTAAGTATGACTGTCTTAAGATTCTCAGGAACCAATCAGAGGGTTCCTTCCTTATTAGCATCTTAAAACATTACTTAAGACGGTCTTGAAATAAGAATGGACTATGAATACCGGCCTACGACACTTAATAATATCAAGATAGCTTATATGTTTGGGCATGACTGTCGCGGCTGCATCATGCTCGTTTTTCTCTTTTACTGTCACTCTCATCGTGTCTTCGAAGCTTTCGTTTTCTCCGCATCCAAACGCGGTCGTCGTGGACACTTTTACGGCGCGGGCAACAAAGGCGGATCCTTTGTATTTCGTGCACGTACTGCGCTATACCTCTGGTATCGCGATACCTCGCGCATTATGCATAATACGCCGGTAACATAATGCATCCATTGTTAAGAGGGAAGAACCGCTGTCTTTTTTTTCTCCTCTTGCCTTCCTTTGTCATTAAACGCGAGAGACGTCGACCGCAGCGATATAAGAGGCATTTAACACTCATTTGCATGTCTCGTGTATTCGATTCACTGCGTGTCACTCACACGCACACACATATGTGTGCTGTTTAGCAATTTCCATCTAGACAAAGTCCATTTCGATATATTTTTTTCGGCGAATTGTGCGTCGTAAAGCCAGGTGTCCTTAGCACACACACACACACACACATATATATATATATATATATATGTATATACATACATACACATATACATACACTAAACATAATATTCAAACCATTTGCCTTCGAATATTTTCTAAGAGCTTTATTAATGCTCGATTCTTTGCAAACTCTAGTGGGTCTATTGTGTAATAATCAGCAATTATACTTTCGTTCAATAGCCAGGAATTGTTTCATGGGATGAGGTAACGAAGCGTACTTCTCAGGATTGTTTTTTCTGCATGAAAATGTGCCAAGTGAACATGATAATTGAAGGGGCATGTGGAGGCAATATGTTGCGAAAGTTAAATAAAGATACTGATATTATTTTTTTTCACTAGCACCTCTAATTACTGTTATTGTAACATAACTATTTAATTTTCTTTAATATAAATTTTATTCAAAGTAATATGATTTAAGTAATACTGTTAGAAATATATTATAAAATATCGCCTTATTTTTTGTTTAATAAAATATTTTGTTTAATATAATATTTTTTGGTTTTGTAAAAATCGATATATATTCATGAATTGCTGTTTTGTTGATATTTGTGTGAATTACATTACAAAAAAAAATCAAGATTCACTTAAAAAGTTTTATTTCACATTGTCATTTTTTTTCTTATCAAAGATTCCTTTTTTATCAAAATATATCAAAATATACAACTTTTAAAAACCCCGATTTTAATGTCTTATTTAATTATCAACATTCAAGTGAGTTAATTAAAATAAGACACCCTGTATATAAATTTATTTACATCTTTTTCCCTTATACCGTATTATATATTCAAAGCCACAAAAATTGGTCACTATAACGTTATAGAGGCCTATTTTTTTAAGTATACATTATACATTAATCCTCTTACCTTCAAACATTCGATGCTCATTTTTATCTTCAATCGCAGCAACGGATTTCATAGCTTCTTATTAGTGAAAAAAACATGTCAGTTGATTATGGCAGCTCTTAATTTACGGTTTATGTGTATCATTTTCTTTCTCTCTCTCTCGTTTGCCGTTACATGTTGGTGAATAACGGAATGTTGCGCAACGATGCTATAAATGGCACGTGAGGTAGTATGGTCCTTCTTTGGTCCTGAATGCAATGCTTGACAATGCAACGGGATACTCATGCTAAATTTGGTATAGCATGATAAAATAGAATTCTTCGCGATTGAATTTTTGATTCTCGATGGAATCTCTTTGAACGTTTGCTTATCAGCGAAAAAAATATGCATTATTAAGATAATGCAGAATTTTTCGATTCAATATCTCGCGAGAAAATAACAGATAAAGAGATTCATGCAGAATATAGTAGGAATTAGAAGGCATTTTATTTTTCTAAAAAAAAGATAGACACAATATCTACTTTTCTCTTAATCATCGAATGATCGATAGAAATTTTCTTCAATTGATTTGCGATTATTTGTGCACAATTCAAGCAACATAACTCTCTCGTAATACGTACGAAGACGAGAGGTCTCTTCTCTGTGCCATCTCTTTTATTACGCCATCGCATGTCTTCTAAGCAGTGCTATTAAGAAAATTAAACCGATCGGAGGAAGTTCGAAACTACCTTAGCAATTACGATAGATTCGATGCGCATCATTTCTACAAAATCGGAAAAAATTGCGAATACTCGCACGAGTATGGACTTGTCACTGCGTGACAGGTATAACGTGTACTTTCCTATCCTTACACCTGTTTACCTTAAGGCGTTGCGGGTAGTTGTAAAGGGAAACCATCTCACGTTGCTCCTGCTGAATTGTATAATATTTATTAATTACTTCGTAAAAGGACACTCAGTTCGATCGAAAGAAATAACACTCTAATAACACTCAATTTATAACATTATATGTAAAATTAAAAACGTAATCAAATCGACGAAGGATCATATAAAATCGTATAAAATCGTCGAGTTTTTTTCCGACTTTTGACGATTTAAAATATTTATTAACTGTTCGATAATAACATTTGTTTTAAGTTAAACAAACGAGATGAGTCTTAGTATTTTTTTGTAGCTAGTATCTTATAGAGAGATATAGATATAGATATAGAAAAAGGAAGCCTTATTTATTCGATGATGTTAATATAACTTATATAACTGATAGTATTCGAGGAAATGATACTTTGATTCTTATCGAGTGACAAGTGATGAAAAAGCTGTCTCGCAATAGCTTGGACAGGTCTCTCTTGTAATGTCTTTGTTAATATATTCAGGAGCGATGATGATCGATTCCTTCGTTCAATCATGAAGTCGCCTTTTTCGCTCTTGTGGTGACAATCTCAGAAAAAAAAAACTCGCTAAGCTACATAACGCGCATAAACCGGATCGGTTTTCTTGTCGAGCGAGAAGCTCCGTAATTATGTAATTACTATCTTTTTTCTTTATATTTTCATATCTTCAACGCTTATGTGACGATTTTTATTCAAATATAAGAATGTTATTACAACCTGTATTCATTGGCGTAACTACTGGTATGTTTAAGTTTAGATGAGAAATCTTCTCAGTCGTAAACATTTAATATCTGAAATGATGTACGTTCAATGGTAGAGTCATGATTCAAATATGCAAAATGACTGAGTTGCTTATGTATTCCATTTCTATGTATTTTCTAGTATTAAACAGGTTTTTTTACAATTCAAAAAATTTTGCTAAGCTTGTTGCGAAATGATTTTTTGTTTTCTTACTTCTATCATTCACTAATTAAGGGAAAAATAAATTATTGTGCCTATCTTTTTTTTTTTATTAGAAAAATAAAATGTCTTCTAATTCCTACGAGATTCTGCACGAATCTCTTTATCTGTTATTTTCTCGTTGAGCCGAAAAGTTAGTTTCTTAAATTTTGATTTTTTAAAAATCCATTTTATTTTGATGTGCTAGTGATAATTTTTTAAATTTTATTATTAAAGAGAAGATCCAAAAAGAGCTGAATAATGAAATGAAATGTGTATATATATTAGATAATTATATAGATTTAGATTCTGATTTTCTCTTTTTTTGTTTTGATTTTTAATGAATAATATTAAAATATATTTACTAGAAGAAATTTATGTATTATATCTATATATACATATATTCCTTATAGATGTCACACATAAACAGTATTTCTATTTTTAATAATTGAATTTCCATTTTTATTCGCAAGAAAATATATAATTATATATAATCATGTAGTAAATATAAAATAATAAAAACAACGGGGCGACACAGATTGTTAAGAACGCGGAAATATTAAAAATAAGAAAATTTCGCTATATCGTTATGATTGTACAAGATATTTGATCGAATATTTACTTTAGTAATATTCACATTTATTTAATTTATTTATATTTAAATAGCTTATGTAATAAAGTATAATTGTATTGAAGATATTAAGAAAATTTTATTTAAAAAATTTTTAAATAAATTAAAAAGTTAGATTATTTTTATAATGAAAATATAATGTTTTTTTTTAAATTATATTAAAAAAGTAATAAAGGAGAAAGTTTCCATAAAATAATGAATTACAAGTTCATTTTTGATTACTTTCTCGTGACAAGTCATGATTTTGTTTTCCAGCTTCGTGCAAGAGTTCGCCTCGCCGCCGGCGGACGGAATGACCCTGCTGTTGGAAACTTTACGCGGCGTTCAACTGGCTCAAAGTTCACCCCCGAATTCGGGGCAGACCGGACCTAGGATCGGTACCAGAAGGGCTGCCTTAGACGAATTGGGGTGCGTGGAATGCCTGGCGGCATGCGGCGAAAGATGCGCCGATGCACCGCGACTATTAGTGCAAGCTCAACCTGGCCTTCTAGCTCTCGCGGTCTGTCTGACTAGTAGTCTCAACCGGTCCCGAGTTCTGGCTCTTCAGGTAACAATTGTCACTTCCGTTCGCGAAGCGTCGCGATACCGTTAGATCGAAAGAAAAAGAATCGATTGCAGAGCTAGTGCGTGTACGTCGCGTGAACGTCGGCACGTTGTCGTGAAATAACGCGAGATTCTTCTGCCCCTTTCACGATATCATTTTCTTAGCTCTTCAGTTTACATTTCCAGATTTCCAATATATATTTTTGCTAAGTATATGTATAATTAATAAAAATTACACATTTATTATTTAATACAATTACGTATATTAATAAGCTCATTTTTAATTTTCTGCACATAAAAGCGAAACACTGCTCGTCTCAAGTAGCGGATTAATGTCAGAAAATCTTCTTTTCTCTATCTTCTTTTGATATCTATGAGTCGTCGTCATATCTTTTAATTGTGCTACTTGAAGTGTTTACATCTCGAATTGCGGTTACGGATACAATTATGATAACAGTAATTCGATATACTTATATATGAAAGTGATAATTATACACTCATGAAGGAAATAAAGAAACTACAGTTACCAATGAAATAAAGTGCTAGTGGGTCACTTCATCTTACACGATAAGTTAATGCTGCCGGTAATTTGGTTTTTTCTTAGTCGTCAAGACGGAGTCGTAAACGCGTGTTTCGAGTAAAGGAGATACGCTCGACAGGCGGCGGCGCCGTTATTTCGAAGGTGCTCATCGTCGAAATCAGTTTTTATCATTTTTATCCGCCGAATGTTATTCGAGAGCATTGGCTTCGTTTACAAACTTATATATCCGCATGTTATGTGAATGACGTTGGATCTGTTTTATTTTCCGGTTCTTGAGATGTATATACCTTGCGAGCGGATATCGTGCGATACAATCAACAATTGTCCAGTCGAGGCAGATAATTACACGGCACGTGTTTCACAAATTCTGTAAATCTACGACTGTATAATAAGAACATCCATTTATAGTGACGAAATAATAAATAATCAGATTCCAAGTACAATCTTCCGCGTGAATGTTTTGACAAATTTCAAGTTTGTCTTTTCTTCAGCAAATATACATTGCGAATCACATCTTCAATATTTTCTGTATTATATTTTATTTTCTAAAAGAATATATTCATTCATTGCTTTGTAGCTCTTGACGAAAGTGTGCCAAGCACCAGGTGGACACGCTGCTGTTTCGGAAGCAGTATCGACTCTGAGACTCAAATATGGAGAAGGAGGGAGGTTTCGATTTTTAGCAGGCGCTCTTTTAGCCCCGAGAGCAGCCATCGCGTTGAGGGTTGCAGGAGTTTCGTTTTTAAACGCTTTTCTGAAATCTGCACCCCGCACGCAAACCAAGTTATACATTCAGGTAAGAAATACAGTAAAATATCCATCATATTCATTTTGTTTTTTACTTTTGTTTAATCTTTTCACGTTTCCAGAGTGACAATCGAGAAACTAAATAGCTGTCATCTTGTGTTAAACTGAAAATTGCTCCTTATTTGAGTCTTACTTTTTTTTTACATTTTTTTTATTTACATTTAAAGTCTTTGTTTGATATACCGTTCGATATACTAATAATATAGTCTTATAACATTTGTCTATATTATTTCCATATCAGGATATAAATATTTTGCTATCTTTTAGGCTGAGGCCTGCGAAGCTGGTTTAGAGCCGCAGGTACTTCAGGAATGGCTTAGAGAATTTGACGGACGCGAAGAGGACGCTTTAACTGATTTACTGCACAAGGAAGTTCAGAGATGGGCAAACAACTGTGTCGACGTGGATGCTCTGCAACGCAGAGTGACGCGTGCGGAAGAAACTTGCAGGGTACTCAGCAAAAAGGTGTCGCTTTTGCAGATGCAATTAGAGAAACGAAATGACTGCAACTTGGAAGAACGAGATAAATCCACGCCGGTGATTCTTATTGCTGCTAAAAGCCCGAAAGTATCTTCGAACGCGGAAGATGAAGGTATCAGCTCTTCGGAGAGATCCAGTAGTCCTGAAGATACAAAGCATCAAGCAAGAATCAACCGGCAGAAAGTCTCACCTGTGCAAAGCAACGATCAGGAAACAACGATAGATGACGTGATCGAGGAGCTGAGAATCATAGTGAAAGACGCTGAGGAAGAATTCAGCGACAAAACTCAAGAATTGAATCATCGTGCTAATAACAATCAAGAAACTGTCCGTAATAAGCAAGAATCGGATAAAAATAAATTATATCGATCGAATTCCAAGATCTCGTTGAATAACTCTGAGAGTTATATGTACGACAAAATATCCAAGAGAGACCAATATACGGATTTGAAGATACTAAAATCGAATACGGGCTCTAACGCATTTCAAAATCAGATAAAAAGTGAGCAAGTGACTTATTTCGGCAATGATCAAGATTATAGTACTGATTCGGATGGCACAAAGAAATTGAGTCTTGGGCTGCGCAAAACATCAAAGTCATCGATGGAAGGCAGCGTTAAGATAGTTGTAAAGGGACCCGATGTGGAAGAGGCAATAGTACCGGCTATTCTACATCCACAACCGCCACGAAGGGCACCGCCGTGCTTATCAGCCATCATGTCCGCTAGGCATTGCGACTTCGCTGATCATGCAGAGATGTACAACTCCCACGACGAGGAAGTCGAGGAAGAAACTCTCGGTGACGGCAGCGATTCATTGCTAAGCGCCTCCAAACTCAAGTATAACAGCAAACATCAAATCTACGACGGACAAATGAGAATTATTAATGAGAATCACTTGCAGAAACAAACTAAAAGTGATACTATATTGATAGGCTCGAATCGTATCGATGTTAAATTTAGAAAGAGTCTCGATGATTTGCATCACTTCGAAGATAATGATAGAAAAACTTTGAGAAATTACGATGCTTCGAAAGCAAATATTATTACGGATGTCAGGCCAATTAATAAACAAATCGACGTTTACAGACAATTCGAATCTATTCCCAAGGGATTTGAGACGTCCTCTGGACGATCGGCTGATCAACGGATGATTCATCGGCATAGTTCTAAATATAGAAGCGAAATAGAAAAGAGGAAATATTTACGTCGTTCCGCTAGTCATGATTACTTCGAGTCGAATGTGTCCAGTCCACAATCGAGACGGTCGGGGAGTAAAGTGGAGTGTCGTATCAGAAAATTTGAAAGTTTAAATTCTTTTGACGAGCATCGAAGTCTACAGAATTATGAGAGATCAAACGACTTTGAGAATCTTGGTAAGCATGAGCAGGTGTCACTGCTGACTGATTCTTCTAGATTTAAAATGCGTAGATCGGAATCTTTTCATCACATCTCTCATCATGTGTCAAAGAGAGATCAATGCTCATCGAAAGGGGAAAGCGACAGTGGTCTTTTTTATTACACGGATTTTAATTTGAAGCCTGTTGTCACGAGACGACCGCGATCAATCGACGCACCAAAGTCTCCCAGTTTGATAACGAAATCCCTGGACAGGATTGATGAAGGCCTAGACTCGATGGTCGATATTGTTATTACGCAAGAGCAAAATCAATGGAACGCGAATAAACGTCAGACAAAAGCGATCAAATCCCGCAATGAGAAGCAGCCAACAAGATCGAGAGTAATCAAATCTTATGATTTTTGTGGTAATTCTTCAGAATTTGATCAACAAGGAAAGCGAGATAATCTCGTTTCTAGAAATAAAGAAATAAAGAACGATGAACTGTATCATGTTAACAATAAGCAATTAAAAAGTGACGAATTCTACGAAGAGAACTCGCGAATGGAACTACAGAGAACTCGCGAATGGAATTATCATAACGAGTTAAATTATGCGAGAAGCAAGGGCGAAATTAATTCATCGGAAGACTCACCGATAATATTATCAAAAAATGGCATAAGACACAATTCTTTTTGCCAGAAAGATAAAATCAATAATAAGTTCATTAGCAGACCGAACGAATCAGGAATTTTTGCTGGGCGAACATACGATACATTTGGTCTTGGAAAGAATCGTTTTAACGCGGGCAAATATTCGGGTAATCAGCCAATTAAAGAAAATCTAATTAGTCGAAGAAATACAACATCTTCGCTGATTGGGAAACGTGGAAAAGTAACGGACATTGTCTCCGGTCTTTACTGAACGTGTCTTAAGTATAAATTTTGTATGAAACTCTAATAAATCAATGGAAATAATTTGTACAATTTTTCCGCGTATAAAAAATAATTAAGAATTCTTATATAATTCATTCAAGGATAATGAAATTAACTATGAGATAAAATAAAAAGAACTGCCAGTGGTTTGCGGGTTATTACTGTATCATAAGCCAACTTACTAATGCCAACGTATCGTCAATCTTGTCGTTCACTTCATCAAAGTGAGGAGTGTATTGATACAAAAACATGTGATACACAAACCATTCGCAAATAATTTGGTATCTCTGAAAATATAATAATATCCTCAAAAGTATTATCAATAAAAAGAATTTCAGAATCACTAGAATCATTTTGCATAGAAACATTCTAAATATATTATATTATATGTATCACATTGAAAATTGATGCAGAAAAATCGATTATTTTTGCTTTAGATTCCATGTTGAATTTATATGAAAAAATATAATTTTATTATATTTTTACTGCTCAATAATAAAATGAAATATATTTATACTGCTCAATAATAAAATGAGAAAAAATATGTGAATTTGAGGATGAATTTATAATTTCCATAATGTATGAGAAAGCACAAAAGAGAAATAGTACGAACGAATCATTTCATCAATTGATACATGAATATATCATTTCTTATTAAACAGAAATCGACTAGACAATGAGAAATGATTTAGAGTGCAATATTTTTGAGTATTATTATGATGCTACATTTGTAATAATTACATTTACGTCGAATATACACGTTTTACAACGAATATACACGTTTTTTCATAACGACAAATAATTCTTCTGGTGATGGACTCTTGTGTACCTTCACTACATTGTGTGATACAATTCTTTGTTAACGATTATATATATGCAATAGTAGTGCAAGTGCCAATTAAGACTGTACTTCGTACATTTCTATATATTACATGTATATATATATATAAAGATGAGATTGAATAATTATATACACATCAGGAAAATAATGTTTAGGTCAAGCAGCAGAATTATTTATAGCTTCTAAATTATATAAAATTATTTTGTAAATTAAGAAGTAAGAATAAAGCCTTCATTCTTTATTTCTATGTCGCTTTTAATTTATTGTTTTGTGTGCTTAATATCATTTAAATAAAAATTGTATGTAACATACTGTTTAATAAACTTTGTTTTTTATTAATATAAAAATGAAATTCAATTTCAACTTGCAGTTGCGTGTAAAAGTGTACTTGTCACCTCACTAAGTTCATGGCAGGAACCACGCGCATTTCTGTGAATCATTTCCGAATTATTTAACGTTAACGATGAATGTAATTTGTCATGTGTTTGCTCAAGAAGTTGTTGCGAAGATTTGTCTGGAAATAAGACAATATATCACTTTTTCTCTAGATATAAAAATAAAACATTCTTAAAATTGTAATATTTGTAAGTTATAAATATTTATAAAACTTATGAACAATAAGATTGGAAAACTCATGAATTACTCTGATTTTAATATATATTATATAATAAATGATAAAATCCTGAGTCACTTGTCATTTCAATCATGTTGAAGTGAATATTATTTTTTTATTCATTGAGATTATATATAAAAAGAAATGTTAAAACGATTTAAAAAGATATTTTTGATTTCTGAGATATAATGTTTTAAAATTTTCTACATCTTGATATAATCAAATTTAAAAAAATATAAAGATATATAATCTCTTTTTTTATATTTCTCTTTTTATATTTTTTTATATTTCAATGAATCAAAAATTTAAAACATGAGATTAAGAACTCCATCGCTATTTTCGCACATTATCAACTCTAATATAAAATTAAAAGAGGGCTCATAAGAGATGTATGTCTATTACCAGACCTTCTGTATTTATAAATCAAAATAATAAAATGTCATCTTTTTCAAATAATTATCACACTTAATATTATTATTGTTTCACACTACGATTATATTAAATAATTCAATTACCTTGAACAGTTGATAATAGATAAGAGAGCTCTTCTTGAGTCGAAACGTATTGGAATTCATCGCCACAGGCACCTTTCAAAACAGTAACCACATCCAATCTTGGATTGTAAAAATACAATCCCTGTTTACGATTACTAAATTCATTGATCAATGTTTTCATACCCTAAATTCGAAAAAAACAATATTTAAATGTGGCACAATTTCTAATTTAATAATATTGTTTTAACACACATTCGCTATTACATATATGCGCGCGCGCGCGCGCGCGTGTGTGTGTGTGTATGTGTGTGAGACGTACTCGATTTTCATAATGTCATAACAGCCAATTTTATAATCTAAGAACAAAGTATATCTCATTGTATCGGATAAAATGTAGAAAATCATAATACATACATAAATAATACAGTAATGTAATCTGAGTAATAATTTTTATTTATATATTGAATAATTATCAAAGTAGCTTAAACAAATGACAAAAATCTAACGTAATCTGAGATTTCAAAATCTAATATGAGATGAATGTTACTTATTAAATTATATTCAATTCTTCACGAAAATGTTACCTTAGCAGCTGTAAAATCTGCCCCTAAAATGTATCTGCAATCAACAACAACCGGTATTTGACTAGATCCTTGCTTTATACCAGCATTACCGACTGATTTCTTTATAAAATCGACAGCTGGGAAATATAAACTGTTTCCTGGAGTAACCAGTAAGTATTCTGCACCACAATCAGTCTATAACAAATGTAGGATTAATTTTATCAAAAAATAATTAGCAATATTTTGATGTGTGAGCAGTAAAATCGTATATTTTGGAAAAGATTGATCCAAGTGTATGAGTATTGAACTTATTCACAATTCTACAACTAACGACTTAGAGTAATGAAAAAAGAAAAAAAGGAAGGATTCCTTTGTTTGAATTCAGTTGTTTGCTACTACCGTGTATTTGTCGACGTGAACTGTAGGTCTTGCGGAAGGATACAATAGGAACATCAAATTTATAGCAACCCCCGATAAAATACCATATTCTACACCAATGATGAGACAAAACAAAAAAGTAACAAACATCGGTATGAGATCCTTTTTGCTCGATTTCCACATCAGTTTCACCACCTCGTATTCTATCATGTATATTACCGCGCAAATGATCACGGCCGATAATGAAGCTGAAAAAGAGGATAATAATTACGCCAAATTGGCATTTTTTTGTATGTTGCTACCATTAAAGTGCTTTGCTACCTTTTGGAATGAAATAGAAATATGGCGTGAGTAGCCTAAGGGCCAGTAAAATCAAAATTCCAGTATATAATCCACCCATTGGCGTCTTCACACCACTCGCATGATTTACTGCTGATCTACTGAACGATCCTGTAACTGGCATAGAACTCGCGCAGGACCCAAGAACGTTACAGATTCCGAGTGTCAAAAGTTCTTGGGAAGCATCAACTTTACCTTCATTCATAAAGGCCTTAGCTATGGCTACATTACCGAGCACAGCTATTATCGGCACTAATATTATAGAAGTACCCAATTCAGAACACATTTGCGTGAAGGTAAGAGTCTGATTATTTACTTGTGTGGAAAAAGGTGGCAGGCCGAATGGTGGAAGACCAGATCTCACTGGACCTGTTAGAATAAACGGAGATCCAAATTCGGACGAATCATATTTGTAAGCAATAACCGAGCAAGTGACAACGACAATGGCGTTCCGCGCCGTAGAGATCAGCCATATTGCTTTCGCAATTATACGTTGATAATTCACTGACTTCTTACTAATGACATGTAATTTAACATCCTTCATTTTCTGTAAATTGTATGAGATTTTTATAAAGAGAATATACCAGATATAATAAAAATGTTGAAAGATTCATTATATAAAGATTCATTAATTACTCTAAACAACAATAGAATTGCGATGCAAGAGATACTCATCCCAGTATCCCAGAGACTCATATTATCAATATTTTGAAAAACTTTAATTAAAGTATCCACAAATCCTTGAGATGAAATTTTTAAACCTAACAATCCTTTCAATTGCGAAGCAACAATTATGACGGATGTTGCTGAAGTAAAGCCCACAGTGACTGGTATCGAGATAAAATCTACAAGTACACCTATAAAATTGTTGTTTATGTTAAACGCAAACAAATAACACCTATATCATTCGAGATATCAATCAAATAATACAACAAGGGATGTGTGCAAAACTAGTACAAAATAGTCTTGAATTTACTTAGAAATCTTAAAATTTCCAGTAACCTTGCGCATAGCCTGCGTACCTTGCGTAAGTCTTACCTTGCGCATTTCTGAATGAAAATACTTTTTTCACTTGAAATTTTATTTTCTATCGCATATCCGATGTTCACTTAAAATAAAGCATTTTCTTATTCGTTTGAGTCAGCATACCTAAGCGTAAGCATGCCATTAGTAATTGCAGGCAACCAGATAAGAATGCGAGAAGTATGGCGAAATCAGCATTTTTCCCTTGCACATAGTCGTGAGTCATTAATGCCATGAGTGCGGTAGGACCAATTGTAATATCTTTACAGGAGCCAAATAGCACGTAAACTATTGCACCCATAAATGCTGAGTAAAGACCGTACTGTAAACAAACATTAAACGATATTAATAACATGCTCGATCTGCATAAAAGATGAGCATTGGTAAGAAAAACATATTTATCTTACATACTTGTGGTTCCAAACCAGCCAAAGTTGCATATGCAAGTCCCTGTGGCATAACAGTAAGACCAACTGTTATGCCGGCTATAATATCGCTAAGGAATTTTTCCGAGTTATATTTCGGTAACCATGCTAAGATCGGCATGCGTCTCGAGGCTAATTTGTGTAGCCGATCGATATAGGTTTTTTTCTTCCTGCGATCAGCTTCAGTAGCCATCCTGAATCAAGCCAGCTTCATGGACAAAACGATGAACAAATAAATTTTTAATAATTAATAATGTAAATAAATGTACAAGACGAATAGATAAAGACGGGAATTTTTTGATTGCAGAGATGTTGCATAGAAATATTTTTAATATAAATTAATTAAAAATCGTTTGTATAATCTATATTAATAGAAATATATAAATGATTCCATGTCACATCGAACAATAAATAAATCAATGTTTCCCGTTTCCGAGTATTTATACTCGTACATAACAGATATGTATTTACATAAAATTAAAATATTATAGCTATTTTGAATAATTTAAAAATTCAATAATCAATTATAACAAAAAATGTTATACTTATTATTAACTACTTAAAAGATGTTTTCAAATTTAAATATTATATTTAAATATTTTAAATATATTTTTTTAAATATTTTCAAAAAATATTCCATATATATTATAGTAAGAATGTTCTGATGCAAAGGTAAAAAGTATCATTAGCGTTCTATTTTCCAAAAAGATAAATATAATATATTTTTATTTAATAAAATATTATAAAAGCCTTTTATCTATAACGAAGCCTTTTATCTATAATAACAAAGACTTTTATTTACAATGATTATGCATAAAAATGTATAACGAATAGATAACCATCGATTAGATATAAAATTATAAAATTAAAGGAAAATCTTGCAATTTACATTTTATCACATTAAATTTAAAAATTAAAAATTAAAAAATTATTTTATTTCTTATGTAATTAAAATTTAAAGTCTCAAAATTATACTATGTAAACATATATAAACATAGCGATTAATTCTTCCTGATTGTTCTGAATAAATCAATGATGTTTTATCAGGATTATATATGTAATGTTACATGTATTTAATTCACGAAAGCACATATGTACACACACACATACACACATACACATATACACATACATCAATATAATATAATTTATTATAAATATAGCTTTCGAACATGTTATGTTATATCTCGTATGTGCACTTGATAAAGGTATATTAAAGTTACCATAGACGAAAAAATGTGGAACCGCAATCGCAACAATAAACGATCGTAGATGGAGAGCGATATGTGTACAAAGGTGAATACTTTCACTGGGAAAGAAACGGGTTTCGCCGAACATGCATATTTGTTTTTTTTCTCCGTGAAGTCACTCTAATTCATAGAAGCTTTATATACTAAATTTACTATCCCGGTAAATGTTTCTCTCTCGCGCTTACAAATTTCCAACGGACTGTAGACTGAAAGTGCGTATGTTCCGTCGTGCCCCTTATATACCCGGATAACGAACCGAACTTACATTGGTCGGGGAAAAGTCGCTGTTAACCTTCGCACTTTTTATATAGGAATCACGAAAAATACGTTAATCAATACGGTTATATGCATGTCACAGAATATTTATTGAGATCCATTTTAAAAATTTTAAAAATTTCAGCGTCGTTTTAATATTTTTAGTTATAAAGTTTCATTAAAAGGATATAAAATTGGAATACATATAAAAAATTGGAAATTTTCAATAGCAAATTCCGTTTGTAATCCAAATTTTTTAAATATTAATCTACAATAATATCTCGCAAAGAAATTGTACAATTTTTTTATTTTACGCACTTGTAGAAAAAAATTATATACTATTTATTAAAACTAGGCTATACTAATCTTCAAGTTTCTTTTTATTCTTTCAAGTAAAGATTCAATATACTACTATAACACATTCGCGATTTAATAATATATATTATAATTAGTATTATATACTAAATAGTATTATGAGTATTATTAGTATTATTAGTAATTAATATTATATACTAATAATACCGCATACGTTTAATACGTTATTTTATGTGAGTGCATATACATTGAAAACCATTTTTTTATCATTTACTTA